GAGAGAGAGAGAGAGAGATGCGCGGAGGCGAACAGAGACGAACGAGGCATGGCACAGCAGGGCAGGGCAGGGCAGGGCAGGGTACAGTGAACGCAGGGCCCGAGGGCTCCCGCGCGCCCGGCAATGTCGAGGAGCGGCGAACGAACGACAGGAAGCAGCAACGACAAACCGGGCGAGCGGAATGGAGCGGAATGGAGAGTAGGTAGAGAGAACGCGGAGCGGAGCGGAGCTGAGGAGAGTCGAGCGAGCCGTTGGTTGCGGAGGCGACGTGGCTCCGGTCGTGTTTTATTTACTTAAGACCAGTAGCGAGCTCGGCGCAGGTAGAATTCCACAGCTGGAATCTTAATAAGGGTGGCCAGGGGTTCTCCCCCGATCGCTTCGTCCCGTTCCTCGTCTTCCTCGTCGGCGCTGTGTTGCGCCGCTGATTTTCCGATCGAGACAAAATGTTTGAGTAACCAGAAGAAAAGTTCATAAGTGAAAATATCTATTAAAATGATACATACGTAAATGATACATAAATTTTTAAAAGACCGAAATATATTCACTATTCAATTTTGAAATTAATATATTTTCAAGTTTTACGATTTAGAAATATTGTAAAGCAACCGTTATGTCCAAAGTACAAGTTATTTTTAGCTCAAGAATAAAAATAAATAGGCAGATTTTAACGAACAAACGTTCATACGAGCGTTTTGTTTAGGCGAATAAAGATAATCGAGCAGAAGTTTAAACCGAACACTCGCAGCTACTATAGGGCTAGAACTCTAGTCGAGAACTTTTATTTTTGACTAACAAAGTGACGCTTGGGCATTGAGTAATGCTCTTAAACTCGAAGAAGAAGAAAGAGAGAAATGTAACGCCAAATATGCGATAAGAGTATCGGCTGTTTGTATAACGGCGCTCCTGGATAAATGCGTGTCGTTGCGTGTTATCTCGTGAAATTTATATCCAACGGGTGGTAATTTTATCGCGCTACTCTGAAAGCCGTGGCCCCCGCGCCGTCTCCGTGGCGTAAAATCCCGACGCTCGTTAGAGAGTTCGTCATAAAATTACATTCGCTCGGATTCTGAGAAATTTCGTCTAATTATGGCCCCTTAATGCGAGAGTAGTGGCCGCTGTCCTTGAGCGTTCATCCATAGACAATTATGGACGCACCCCCGGCGATAATTAGCCAAACCGTGCTTGCGCGCCGGAAGTGCGTGAAATCGTCCCGGCTGTTGCGTATCGATATTTTCATAAATATTAGATATTTGCATCTGAATAACGTAAACAGATTAAGATGTAGATAAGACATCTCGATTCGTTAAGCTTTAGATCGATATATAATTGCACATAATATAATGAAAGTAGCATTGAAAATTAGAAAATAAGAAGAATCAGCAAGCATATATCGTATTAAAAAAATAATGTCAAAAATAGTGAAATTGTATCACAAGACTTTTATAAAAGTCTAATTATTATTATCGAAAAGAAAATCGCAAAAAACTGTCAAAAACTGTCACGAGAAGCAACTTGGAAAGAGCGACGTGAAACAGGGAGACAGAGAGAAAATATCGCCCGTGGCCGTACCAGTGAAATTATTGCGTCCGCCTAACTAATCCATACCGCAACGTATGCGACCCCTCAACCCCTCTGCGTGCGTGAAGTGCGTGCTACAGTCGAGTGTACCATCGCGCGCGAGCTCATATAACGGGTGAGTCCCACGCGCTTGCTGAAAATAGTATGATACATGTCATCCAAGTAAAAACCGTAAAAAATTGTTTCACTTTGTTACTCGCGGAATAAATAATAACAAATTTCTGAAATATGCAAAAACATAATTTTACAGAATAATAGTACATTCGAACAAGGTTCACTTGTATGTATATCGAGTATATTGTAGAGAAAATGTTTACTATCATACATATTATCATTATACAAAAATAAATTGCACAAGACAGAAAAAAAAATACATAAGATATCGCATAATATTTCTCGAGATAGAATTCAAGGCAACGGCCATCAAACGCAATCACGGCGCACTTATGGTGACGCACGCTGACATATATGAATCTCGTACCGCGCACGTGACGCGAAGCTGCGTAATTTCGAGTCGGTCTGTACATGGCGCGATACATACGCGCGCGCAAGTGGCGGCAAGAACAGCGCACAAGGATGCACACACGCGTGCGCACGTGCATCGCGGCACGCACGTGCTAAATTGCGGGGCGCGGTTGAAGCGTTGCAGCACGACGAGAGACGAGAGACGACTACACTTCGTTCGCGGATTTTCTTGTCGGAAGCGTACCTCTCGCATATATATTCGCAGAGGAGAGTAACGAGTAACGAGTAAAAAGTAGAAGGGAAAGAAAGAGAACGATACAAGAAAGGCACTCGACGCGTTTAGCGATCGTCATGTCATAACGCTCGTTATGATCAGAGAGAACAAATCGTGTAATCGTATTTACCTATATTTACAACAACACACGCGCACTCTACTTTTCATCTTATTCTTCGGAATAAGAATTATTTATCGCCTCCGTAAAATCCCGCGCTTCTGGCTTCTGGCTTCTCTTCGCGTGACATTGAAATTGCCAGTCTTGGTCTCGTCCATGCGGAACGAAATATTATGTAGTAGCGTTTCCCTAATGATCGTTAATGTACTCGTCACGAAGATAATGAGCGAAAATTGCATTTTTGTTCTGTAGAACAAAAATTATCGCCAGAGGTTTCAATGCGGGACGCTCCACCCCCCGCGCACCATGTTCCGTTCGATATAAAATTACGCTAACGATGATAATTATCATGTGCTAATGCGTTCTTGCTAAATGTGACCCTACATGCTGATGCTGACATTAATATTATCGAGCTAACGACCACTTTGAGTTTGTAATAGTAGCTAATTCAGTAATGATACGTCTCGACACGAAAGCTGACGATACGTCCTCTTAGCGCGCTTCGTTCCATCGGCCCTCTCTCGTCTTGAGAACTCGTCTCCGATTCTAGTTCAAAAAATGTATAAATCTTCGTAACACATGGAAAAAAAATGTCACGACAATCGAACGCACTTTAATTTGTGATTATTGTTGTTGACTCAAGTGACTACGTTTTAAACAGGTCTATCGTTTCAGCAGTGAAAAATTTCAAAACATCTCGAAAGCAGGAAGTCGACGACCGACGTCAGTGAGCGATTCGTGCGCTATACGCTTGTATGCGCAGGGGTTGGGCCGATTACCCGATATATAGTTGTAACCCTCTCCGGGCTACGTCTCTCTTTTTCTCGTCGTTATATAAAACCTCCTCCGTGCCAGCGGCGGGAATGGAGGAGGGTACGCGCAGGATCGGGGTTGCGAGAAGGGCAGGATCTCGCATAATGTCCGTGTAACACACCCTGCTCATCACGCGCCACTTGCTTCCCTCCCGCTTGAGTCCCCTTCCCTCTTCCCAGTATCGAAACCGAAGCGACCCCAGAAAATCTACTGGCCCTGAACAGACCCTGCGGTGGAATAACGCGTTCTTCTCTCTCCCCCGCTGCCATCTCGCCTTTCTCGCTCTACTCGCATTCCTGCCTCGCTCTGTCTCTCACTCAGGCTCGTTATTAGCTCGCCGACTCGCACATGCGAGTTATGTTTATATTATGATATTAATAGAGGGTAATACATGGCCTCCATCACCAGCGGTAGCACCCGTCGCAGCAGGTTGTTTGTCGGCTCTAAGAGGGCGCCCAGGGCCGTACAAATGAGTCCGGGGCATACAACGAGTGCAACAGCCTCGGGCGCACGTTGATCGGACGCGCTTCTTTTGCAACACGTTGCGAGACTCATTAATTGACACATCTATACAAATTCCGTCTAATTTACATTACGCCCAAAGATTCAAATATTGCTAAAATTTCTAAAATTTCGAGACATAGTGGTCGATTTTGAAAAATACAATTTAAAGACTTATCTAACGATGTACTTAGATTTCTCTCGTGCGTTTATTCTTAAATATATTGCAAACATAAATAAATATATTTTCGGCATTAGAAAAAGAATTGTATCAAATCGATGTCTCCACTGTAATTTCGATAAACTTTATGACAAAAAAAAAAATCGATGATACAAATGATAGGTATTAATTGTGCGTTTTGTTACGAGAGATAACAAGGAATAGAAAAAGAAAAGACTAAAACCTGTCTTTCGCCATAAATTATACGACTATACGAGAAGAGATGTGAGCCCGAGGAAAGTTGACCTGTTGGTCGATGCATCTCGGGACCACAAGAGAGTAAGCCTATGATTTTGCTGGTTCGGAACGCGAAATTTTAGCTGCGGAAGGACGACAAGGGGGAAAACACACGTTCGGAATTAGAGAGAATATCGTTTAAGTGGTCGGCGAAAAAGGGAGACTACCAGGAACTCGCTGTCCGTCCGACTAGTCTTCCTCTTTCGGACCCAGCCTATCTGGGTATCCAATTCAAAAAGGGCTACCCCTTCGGGACCCGCATCTCGTTACGCGAAACATCGTGTAATTAGCACGTCGTTGCGATCCCGCTATATGTACATATATATAGGGGCTCG